TTGGGAATCTTACGATACCGCTTCTTCTTCTCTTCCTCCTCCTTCTTCTCATCTTTTTTATCGTCCTCTTTGAGGTCAATAAAATCCTCCAAAGGGAGAAAAGAAAAGATCTCGCAGAAGTCACCCTTCCAGATTTTTTCCTTCACCTCCTGTTTGAGGTGGACCCCCAGCGGACCCGCAAACGACACATATGCGTGTTGCCTGGCCGCATCAGGAACCACCCCCCCTGTCAACTCAGCCCGCTCGCTCGTCGCCTCCGCCCCAGTAACCGTCACTGCAGTGTCCCCACCCGAACTCTGTTCCGCGGAGGGAACCTCGCTCGGGCCCGCCACCCTGGCCCCCTGAGCCCAAACCTGACCCACACCACCCTTTGTGGCACCCCCCGCTCCCAGTGAGTGGAGAAGTGCTTAAAGTGTATGAACCAATGCACTGGAGTGCAGAGAAGCAGAGGACTCACCGGCCAAGCCCCTCGACCCCGAAGCTCCTGGGGCTGCGTTGTGTACTGTCCCCTGACCAGGATGAGCGACATCCGTTAACGATCCTCCAACCGGGGAGCCAACCCGGTGCCCGGCCACATCAGATGCGGAGCGGCTCCGAGATCTGTAACGAGGAGAAGAAGTCCTGGGCAGAACATACTGGTCATGAGCAGCCCCCCCGTCCCGACCTTGAGAGCGCCCGCTGGACACCAGAGCCTCCCGTCGCGCAACCACTCCTTTTCGCCCACCCAAGGCCCGATCGGCCCTGCCTCTGGGACTACGACTCCTCCCATTTCTACCAGAGGCCCGCCCCCGTGTAACCAGCCTGGGGGCCATGACACTCTCCCCCCCTGAGCTACTAGATGAGGACCTAACACGCCGAGCCCTTCCCTTAACCCCCCCGGACCCCCGGGCCCTAACCGGTGACGGGCTGCTATCACCAGACCCCAAACCTGAACCCCCCCCAGAACTACGCCCACCTATCCGCTCACCAGCGCAGGGAAATCCCCACCCCCCACCCCGGCGGGCCCCCCGGCTAGAAGAACCCCCTCCCCTCGGTACCTCTAGACCGTCCCCAGACCCCGCACCCCTAACCTGTCCTGAACGCCCTGCGCACCTCGACCTCCTGCCCCCACCCGATGGCAAACTTCCCCCTGCTGTACCCCCTGGCCCTTCCACCCTCCCGGCTACAGGCCCTCGCTCCATGCTCACTACCCTGGAACTACCCTGCGCACCCTCCCCCCTAGGCCTCTCTGCCCCCGCTCTAGAAGGCACCTGACCCCTCTCCATGTCCCCCCCAGGTCTCTGAACCCTGTGCCCAGTCCTCCTGCGCTGATTCGCGCCAAGGGGGTCCCGGCCGGAACCCCCTGCACTTGCCTGCTCCAGGGGCGGTCCGCGAGCTCCTTCCGCACCTGCCCCGCCAGTCCCCGCCATGGGTGTAGGAGATGCCCTCCCGGGCTGCAATCCCGCGTCCTCTCCGGTTCCAGGGGGCCGCCCGATGTCTCCCGCGGCCCCCGCTCCAGGCGCAGCCCTCCCCGCACTGGGAGCCGCACCGTCCGACTCCCGGGTAGCCTCCCGCCGGCTACCGCTTCTCCGACGTCCCTGTAACGCGCCGGGAGGCGGAGCCTCAACCATGCGGCTACCGGGTCCGTTTCGGCCTGGTCCCGCCGCCGCCCGGCCGCTGGAACCGTCTCCACCGGACTCCGCGCCTAGGCTCAGCCGTCTCGGCGGCCTCCGAGCCCGCACAGGCCGACCTCCGCCGCCCTCATGATCCGCAGCACCCGCCAGGGCTGGTCCAAGTTGCGCCCGCAGCCAGTCCACGCCACGTCCTTGAGCCGCCAACCGGATCCGCTCCAACAGCTCCTCCATGTTATCCTTCGACCCTGCAGAAGGAGAGAAAAAACAAAGACCCCACCAAACCAAATCTGTGGACACAGGAGTGCACACAAACTCAGCAAGGTAGTAATTAAAAGTGAAGGCTTTAAAATGGCTGCCTATTTAAATAGCCAAGCCTACTTACCCATAACTCCATACTTCCTTCCCTCCTCCTATGCCCGCCTCCTAACCCCTGTCAAGGCCTTTTTTCGCTTAGCTGCGCTTTGGCTACATGGGGCTACAAGTTTGCTGCTTTGGGCCCGGGAGGTTGTCACAGCGAGGCCGGGTGTGTCCTTGCCAAATAAGGGATGGTTTGGTAGATTAGATGAAAAAGGGGGATAATGGCCGGGTCTCATCCTCCGCCTGTCTCTTATGGTGAACCTGGAGGAGGTACCAGGTTGGACGTGTCCCCACTGGGTTGTAAGTCGACCAGTGGGGAGCATTATGGTTGGGCCCCACCGAGTTGGTGGGGAGCCCTGAAAAGGAAGATGTTTTTATTATGCCGAGGGGGAGGTGAGAGCCTTGGGGAAGTTAGATTGGCAAGGACGGTTTCTTTGGTTACTGTATGACTATATGCAAATTGTTTATGTTAATTTATGATATTTATTATTTCGTTATATGTTAAAGGAGTCATACAGTATTTGGTGATGTTAATAAATGCTGTGGCCTGTTTTCTCCAAGAAGTTGTCTGTCGTTATTTGAAGGGGTAAGTTATGGTTTTATGGGGGATGAAGGGAAAAGCCCTGGGGAGTCAGCATAGCTAAACGGACAAGGGCACATGTATGAGTGTGGGGATGGTGCTAGTGATTGGCTGTATGTGTTTAGGGCTCCCAGCACAACAGTTTTATGAATTGTAGCGTTTTGTTTCTCTTCATGTTTTCTTCCTCCTATAAACGTTTTGCACTTCTGAAAAGGAAATTCCTGAGAAAACTGGTGAAATTTATAATAAAGAAAACTGTCACTTTTTAGATCACTTTAATAAATCCGATTAAATTAATGATGGGATTTAAACGTCAGCTTTCAGAACATTATGAGAAATACCCCCATTAGTGTTGGTACTTGCTGACCTTGTATTGTGTGAGTTATTCTCTCTATAATTATATTAACACTGTAACACTATGTATAAACATACTGTCAGCTGTCTCTCCAGCGTATGATGTAGGTACACACTCTGCCTCTTATATCTGACACACAGGGCAAAACCGTATATCACAAGGTGGTACCTGAACTCGACGAGGTCGGCCTACAGCACAACGTACAACCAATGGTTCGAGAATACTTCGAGCACGGAGACACAGAGGAGGTTATAGTAAGTAATGAGTGTATAGCGCTC